CCCTCCTTTTGTTGACTTAGGGTTTATTTTTATATCTTCAACTGTCACAGTCTAGCTTCAATTATTATTACAATAGTTCTTCCTTGTCTGCAGGGTATAAGTTCCAAGACCCCCAGTGGGTGCCTGAAACCATGGATAGTCCCGAACCCTATATATGCTGTGTTTTTTCCTATATATCCATGCACACCTTTTCACTTATAGGAAGCACTTTATGGCTTATCTTTGGCATATCTGAATTGCCAGCCTCATTACTCTTGGGCTTTGGGGCCATTATTGAGTAAAATAAATGTTACTTCAACACAAGCACTGTGATACTGGGTGACATTTGATCTGATAACCAAGAGGACTACTAAGTAACTAATAGGCAGGTAACGTTTACAGCATGGAAACGCTGGACAAAGGGATGAATTATTTGTGTGTGTGGGGATAGGATGGCATGAAATTTCATTACACTACCCAGAATGGTGTGCAATTTAAAACTTATGGATTGTTTATTTCTGGAGTTTTCCATTTAATATTTCTGAATCACAGTTGACTGAGGGTAACTGAAACCACAGAAAGCAAAATTGAGGATAAGTAGGGGCTACTCTACATCACTTCACGCATAGTATAAGACATAACACTATACTTTAATTTCCCTTAGCTCAGCCTTTGCGCTATTGCTATGTTTTCTTCCTGCATATGCTATGAGTCCCAGAATACATTGTTATTACATTAAATCTATATTTTTAAATTTTTTCAAAATTTTTAAAAATTTATTGATTTGTGAGAAAGAGAGAAACATCAATTTGTTGTTCCACTTATTTATGCATTCCCTGGTTGATTCTTTGTGCCCTGACCAGGGATTGAACCTGCAAACTTGGTGTATGGAGACCACGCTCTAACCAACTGAGCCACCTGGCCAGAGCAAAATTTTTTTAAATTTTTAACTGTAAAATATACATAGCATAAACTTTACCATTTTAACCATTTTTAAGTGTAGAGTTCAATGGTACTAAATACATTCATAATGTTCTGCAACCATCGTCACCATGCATCTGTGTACGTGTACAACCTTTTGTCTTGTAAAAAGAAACAGTGCTCTTGATGAGCCCCTGCAGGTCTGTGCACTGCCATGTGCCACCATATCCCAGGCCCTTGCCTGAGGAGTACTGAAATGTAGTAGGGAGTAGTGAAAAAATGGTTTAAACAGGGAGATAGAAAGGATATGAGTTGTTTTGAAGGAAGTGGGGATAAGTGTGAAGACTGATTTTATTTAATAGAAGAGAAGAACGAATTGCGTAAGTTGAAGGAAGTGCATCTTAGGGTGTGATCCAGAGACTTGGGGTCAATTGCAGATTTCTGTCCCCTCAGAAGTACTGAATCAGAACCTGGTCTCAATACAGAAACAGGAAAATTGAGATATGTGGGCTGGAGGTGGAGGGAGGGATGAGGGGAAACTAGTTACTGTTTAATCCATCTCTTTGGATCTTGTTTTGAGATGACTACTTGATACCTAAGTGGATGTAGCAGTAGACAAATGAAAATAAAATCATGCTGGAATATGTCTGTGTTTCTCTGTGTGAAAGTGATGAGAATAGTCCACTGAGGGGCAAAGTAGAAAGAAAATCCCTTAGTTTTAGACATTGGACCTTGGAGGTGAGACGAGACAAGAGTTGGAATAATCAGTGCTGTAAGTAGAAGACCAGGGTAGTGTATTATTAGGAGTCAAAGAAGCATTGAAAGGTGTATGTTACATTGTGCTGTCAGAGGAAAATGAGAACCAAGAAGAGGATATTGATAGCCCTTGAGACCGCAGTGGGTACCCATTGAGAATGCCATTAATGAAGAATGTGGTGATATTTATAAATACCAAGTGCTTTAAAAAACAGTGAGTCAAACACTGAATGCTCACTGATTCTAACTTTAATTTATTAGAATTTATCCCTAGAGATTTTTAAGCAACACAGCAGGGGTAGCAAACCTTTTCTTTAAAGGGCCATATAGGAAATATTTTAGTTTTTTCAGGGCATGTGGTCTCTGTTATAACTACTAACTGTGCTGTAGAATGAAACTAGCTCAGACATTATGTAAACACATGGGTGTAGCTGCATTCCAGTAAAACTTGATTTAGAAAGAAAACTGGCGGACTCTAGTTTGCCCACCCTTGAGTGAGAGGAACCTCTGCTTTTCAGCACTTTTTGCCTTAAGATTTAAATTAACATTGGCTAACTTCTTGTTAAAATTATCAAAACTAAATATTAGTAATGAGCTTGAAAAAATCTAGCAGGGAATACAATTCTGTTGGTCTTGTAAAATTTAATAAACTTGACTAAGCACCACCCTCCCTGTGCCCTCACATCTGAGATGGTAGAACTGAAATAGGGACATTTGTTCCCCATGGTGCCCACCCTCCCATTTGTAACGACTAGTGGTTTCAGTTGATTTATTCCCTTTTATTATTTTGTCAATTTTAGTAACAGTTTGCTTTTACTTTTTCAGTCTCGGAGAAATCTATGTGAAGAGGCTTTGTTAAAAATTAAAGGCGTTATTAGCTTTACTTTTCAAATGGCTGTTCAAAGATGTGTGGTGCGAATCCGTTCAGATTTGAAAGCAGAGGTTAGTATTTTAAATACTGATATGCTCGAGTTTCCAGGTAACAAGTCTGAGTTCAAGTTTGTCCCTTTTTATCCTGGCCTAGGCTTTGGCATCCGCGATAGCATCGACCAAGGTGATGAAGGCTCAGCAAGTTGTGAAAAGTGAAAGTGGAGAAGAGGTAAAAGCTTTATATAGTTTTTTTATACCTAACTGCGACTCTAGGTTGTTCTTTACGGCCAGCAGATTGCCACTGGTTTTAGACTAATAGTTGCCAAGTATATAGGAATGGGGTTGGGCCAGAATATCTCAATGTTTCTTGGATAGCAGTTAACTCTTTTTAGAAATTTAGAAAGATCTTTTGTGGATTTCAGTCTCTTTTTATATATGTTATATTTTGTGAATTTCAGACCCTTCTTTCAGTGGAGAAGTCTTGCTGATATACGGAAATAAAGGAGATGTGGTTTCTGTGATTGGTCTTTAAATACTTTCTAACCTTAATTAGTCTTACCAATCCAAAAAGTAAAACTGCAGTCCCCCTCTTAGGCAAGTACACATAGTGAAAACCTTTGCCTGTTGTTGCTCTTTCCACCAGCTTTGTGATAGGGAAATGAATCTACATGGCTTCGGCTTGTTTGAGTTGCCATAAAAAGGAGGGTCATTGGCTCTCCAGAGGCCCACCCAGTGGCCAGATGCTTGCTTTTATCTTCTTTATTTATTTTTAAATTTTTAGAAATTTGTTTTTAATTATAGTTGACATACAGTACTATATTTGTGTCAGGTGTACAACACAGCGATTGGACATTTATATACTTTACAAAGTGCTATCCACAGGAAGTCTAAGAACTGTCACCATACACAGTTGTGATATTATTGATCTCTTCCCTGTGCTATACATTACCTCCCCATGACTGACTTTGTAACTGGAAGTTTGCACTTATTAATCTCCTTCCCCTTTTCTGCCTTACCCTGTCATCTTGAAGTAGACAGAGGTTGAACATTTATTCTTGTAATTCTGCCTTTCTGTGCTTACACAATGCTCAGAAAATGGGTTTACCTTTATGTAGGAGGGACATTTTCAAAGGAATACAGCCCCTGAAAATAAATACTGTGGTGATTAAAATGAGGAGAAAGTTGTCCTTTCACTTCTGACACACATCTATCAATTACATTGGTTTTGCACTAACTGTTCACACGTTCTCTGTGTCAGATGCTGGTCCCATTCCAGGATATGGCTGTGGAAGTAGAACAGAACACAGAGCTGCCTGACTACCTTCCTGAGGATGAGAGCCCCACCAAAGAGCAGGACAAAGCAGTGTCAAGGGTCGGCTCCCACCCAGAGGGTGGGGCTAGCTGGCTGAGCACAGCCGCAAACTTTTTATCCAGGTCGTTTTACTGGTGACTTCAATTTGGGGTGCAAGGACTGTGTGAATGAACAAGGGGCCAGTTTTCCATTGTCATGGTGAACTGTCAAGTGCAATTTGCAATAAGTTATCATGAAAAGTTTTTAGATTACATGATTGCGTATGCTGCGTTTTACATTTTATCGGACATTTTGCCCCACTAAGTGTTAAAAAGGACAGAGGCTACAGGGGGAGTTGCTTTGTTTATGAAGGTATTTTGGTTTTGTTTTCCTTTGTTTAATTGCCTCATTTTTTAAAAAACATGGGTCCACAGTTAAACCAAACATATGTGCAGCTTTACATTTTATTTTACACGAAGCACTTGATAGGAAAACTCATTTTCCCCTCCGGCCTCGGGACCTATCTGAAGAGAAGTTTTCTTAGCTCAAGTTGTGCATGAATTACGGAATGTTTTCCTCTGCTTTTCTTCATGAAAGATACTTGCTTTGGTACTCTACTGAGAGTTGGAAGTATTTCTCATTGTTCCCCTTTTGTGCCTTTTTTAATTTTGCCAACCATGTTTATAGAAAGGTCATTACTAATGACATTTTGTGAATTAAAATATATTCATTTGAATGTAGCAGTCCCCTAAAAATACAATTCTACAAAAACATTGCAATCTTATTTGTTGTCATTTTAATACAATTAATACACAATCATTTGAGAGAGGGAAACATGTATGTCAGCAAAGTGCTGTGGAGACTGAATGTGACCAAATGTAGTTTGACTGCTGTTCTGTTTGGTTTATATCAGCTCTTGAGAGTTATAGCCACCATAATATTGGGAGCAACTGTTAGTGGTCTCTAGGCCTTATTTTGTGATTACACACTATCTCCTGTGAGAAAAAAAAATAGTAAAGAACTGACAAACTTGGAAAAGAAAACAAAAATTGGATGCCTGTAATACCGTATACCATTTGGTAGAGTCTAACCTTAACACATCAATTGCTTGGCAGGTGGCTATTCAGTAGGTGTTTCCTTGTATTGCCTTTTGTGAATTTATTATGAATTTGCAGTCGAATTGAATGGAAAAAGTACTCAAATTAATGCTTATAAAGAAATAGAGCCAGCATTGGTCTACTTAATTTTGTGTTTCATGTCCAGCCAGAAAAAAAAAAACTTCAGTGAAGGTAAGATAAATAAATATAAATATATATACATATATATTTTTTGTAGATAAGAGCTAATTACATATATGTAATGCTTTATTGCATTTCTGAAATATTTGGCAACTAAAATTTTCCTTTTGGAATTCCAACTAAATCCAGATAAGTTTTAATGCCAATACAATTAAAAACTAATAGGAAGAAATTGAAATTCTTTTTCATCTACATGTAGAGCTGCTATTTTATTACTTGGAGAATGTGAAGTGAAAATTGGACCCTGGAGGGTTTTCTTGCATTTTCATTACTTCTCTTTTAGAGATAATGAAAAGCATCCAGTGTTACTGGAGAAAAATTATTGTAAAATGCTTCACCAACAAGAATCTTGAACATTGTGACCTTCTGGAGGGAGGGGTATTGAGGGTGTTGAGAATGATAGTTTTCAGGTGTCTGGGCTCTGAGTTGGGTGACTCGCACAAATGAAAATATAAGCATTCAGGGCGTGTATTGCTTTAAATGCATAATACAGCTTGCTGCCAGAACCAGATGTGTTGAAAAAAGAAAACAAAACCACCTCCTTTCTATAGCCATTAAAACAAAGTTTACTGTTCTGTTTTAACAAGTTTGTGTTTTATTTTGCATTGCCACACATCTGCTATTTAAAAAACTACATCCCTTTGGTAGCAATGGTTCAATACAAGTAGATATTACAGCTTGGTGTTCGTGTGTTCTAATTCTAAGTGTTCTTTTGTTTCCAGGTCTTATAGAGCAGTTAAGGCAACTGTAATGGCATTTTTTGAAATATATTGTAAAATAATAAAAGGTAACATAATTAAAATTGAATGGATATTGCATTTCTGTGAAATAAGCATGATTGAGTACTCTTAAAAAGCCTGTTTGTATTCACACTGCCTGGCACCTTCTCCTAGCTCCCTGCAGGTGCATTACCCGACTAATTCCCATGCACCTTCCATTCATCTTCTTCCCAGCACCACACCTGCCTCCTCCTGGCTTTGGATCAGTTGTCTCTTTACATATACTCATCATAGCATTTATCACATTAGATTGAAATTATATTTACCAGTGTTTCTCCCCTACTTAGCTCTTTGAGAACCAAGAGCGTATATAACTGTACCTGGCTAGTAGCAAGCACTCGGATATTTTTTTAAGAGACTGAATGAATAATTTGTTTTTAATCACTAAAAATAAATAGAAGATACTAATTAAAATGGGCACACAGGAAAATGTCAGATTGTACTATTTTGGGGGGAGGGGGCATGTTTATTTCTGATTTATTCACTTTATTGTTTTTTTCATTTGTCATTTAGTTTTTATATTTTAAAAAGTGGCAGAGGATCATAATACTTGCTCCACTGAATGAAGTTAAGATTAACTTATACTATCCTGATTCTTATAGAATTGTTACAGGAGAATATTTTATATATATAGTGGTGGTTTCGGTTTTCTATTTTATAACTTACCAGCTACTTAATCTTAGGTAATAATTTAACCTCTAAGGTTTTTCTTCATTAGTAAAATGGAGATAACCCCTCTGCTTCATGGGTCATTTTTAGAATCCAGTGGGATCATCATGAATAATTTGAAAACTAAAAATTTACAAGTGTAAGATGGAATTATTGTTACTGGAAGTTTGACATGATTCTCTTCTTGTCCTTAATTCTCAAGTGAGACACTGTACCTTTCTAATTGCACTTTATCTGACTGCTCATCTTTCTATATCCAGTCAGAGGGACTGTTTTTTGAGGCTTAGTTCTCAGCTATTTGATTTTTATCTAAATGTCCCTTATAGAAGTCATCTGCTGTCAGGATTTCAGTTAGCTTTCAGTATGTAACTTCTAAATCTCCATTGTACTGTTGCCATCTTTGATGGCTCCCTTTCCTTTGCTGTGTCAAATGTAAACTGTGAGTTTTTATTTATCTTAGAACCAAGCTCATGGTAGGCACTCTTATATTAAAAAATAGACCACTAATTCTGTGCCACGCACTGTCCTTAACTATGAGGTAGATGCTGTTACATCCCGTTATATAGATGGGGGGAAAAATGAGACACGGAAATTAGGTAACTCAGTCCCAGGTCACAGAGCTCGGTAGTGGTGAAGCCAGGACTCAAACCCTGGCAGTCGGCTTCCCAGACTATACACCTTCACAAGGCAGCTTGCATCTTAGGTCCCTTGGTTGTGTGTCCTACCACCACCATTCTAGTCCAGATCCTTCCCTCTGAATCATGTCTAGAGTCTTAACTGAGTAGAATCTGTTAGCAGTCAAGGACTCTGGGGACCTGAAAAATTAGGTCCATGAAAGAAGTAGGCCTGGTTAGGCCACAACATAAGGAAAACATGGAGAGCACCTGGCCCATCTAAAGAGGGAACCATCTTTTCCTCACTCGGATTGTGGGGTTTTCACATGCAGAGCTTCTGGACTTTGTGGCTGTCCCAGACCTTTAAAACACTATCTGAGCCACATAAAACATGTCTATGGGCCAGAAATTGGCTACTATTCTAGACTAGCCACATTCTAATCTATTAGATTAATCTGAACTGGTTTTGTCATTTTCTGCTGTAATGTCAACAGGCATTTGGATTAGATTGGACTGTTTAGCACCAAAAATGAGAGTTTAGCCCCCAGCGTAGTCTTTCATGCATTCTGTAGCATTATTACAGACTTTATGTGTGAGGCACAGTTGTATATCTCATTGTTACCAAAAGTCTGCTTATTTAGCTTGTCTATTTATTATAACCCAAAATATTCCATATTTGTCCCACCCTCCAGATCTTTGCTCTGGAGTTGAATGTGAAAATGTAAGTTGTGTAAATACCCATTTTCTCATGTTTAAACATTTTAGGTGGGAGGATAGTTTATTAGGACACATTAAAAATAATACTCAATGAGTAATTTGCAAACAGAAATATTCCAGTTACCCAGAGGGAGCAAAATTGGGCAGTGGGCAATATACTTTCAGAGAAAAAAGGAAAATTTTAGTGTGAGCTAAATGAATTAGGAGACTGGGAGGCAAGAAAAGAGCATAGAATGAACTCCAAATGAATGAAGATGGAAAAAGAGAGAACATACACAGGAGGAAAATCAGCTCTACCGTCCTTACCAATGACTGAAAAAAGGGGTTAAAGCAAATGGTGAAAACAAGCACATTCAAAGAGTTGAGCTACACATCAGGACTCAGTTTTAGGAGAGAAACGTCTAAGGGAAAAGGGAATCATTACCTCTCAGTGCAGAAATTCAGAGAAAAATGTACTGCTCTAAGAAAGTTTATATGTAAAATAAAGCTTTGTAAAACAAGCTTTGTTTACATGTGCATTTATACTTTTAGTTTTGATTTTTAAAAAATATATCTATTGATTTCAGAGAGGAAAGGGAGAGGGGGAGAGAAACATCAATGATGAGAGTCATTGATCAGCTGCCTCCTGCACGCCCCCTGCTGGGGACCGAGCCCGCAACCTGGGCATGTGCCCTGACAGGGAATTGAACCCTGATCTGGATCATAGGTCGACGCTCAACCGCTGAGCCATGCCGGCTGGGCTTGATTTTTTTTTAATGGATCAAATTCTTCAGGCAATAAAAGTTTTGGTTTTTTTTAATCCTCACCTGAGGATATTTTTTCCATTGCTTTTCAGAGAGAGAGGAAGGAGGAAAGAGGGAGAGAAATACTGATGTGAGAGAGACACATCGATTGGTTGCCTCCCCAGGGGGCCAGGGATGAAGCCTGTAACCGAAGTACATGCTGTTGGCCGCACTTGAACCCTGGACCCTTAAGTCCACGGGCCGATGCTCTAACCACTGTGCCAAAATGAGCCAAACTAACTAGGGCTAAGGTCTGTTTTAAAAAAATTACCTTCACATGACACTTGTGGAAGTAAAGCAAGATGAACCTAACGGGAACAAAACCAAGTGTTTCTGGTCCTAGTGACATGGGGAGATTAGTTTAAATAATTAAATTAGTAAAAAACTAGCTTAAGGGTGATAATGTATAAAGACACTTCTGGGTGAAAATATTTATAGTCTTGATATAAGGACTATAGTCTTTTTCTGGAAGTGGTTGTAGCAAAATTGTTAGATATGACAATCTATGGGAATCTTTTCTCTCTCTCTGGGTAGTAGGTAGCAAGAGTAAGCTTATATGAGGTAATGACTTAAAGAAAAATATATTCTAAATTAAGATCCTGGTCACTGAGCTATTAGTTGTAATCCAGGATGGGAAAGCAGAGCAGCCTCCTTCCTTCAGTATACGACTTCTTAGTGATGTAGTAGCAAAATAGGCCAGGCAGGTGTTTTGTCACCTCCACAAAAGTTATGCTAGAAATAGAACTTTTATATTAGAAAAGTTGTATTAGAAATTTAAAAAATGAAGGTATTTTTCTTACTCTCTGTTATAGCATTTCTGGTTGGGAGATAAATGCCAGCATTACCCATTCATGATGATTGTTACAGGCTTCTTATCAGAGTGTAGTTTTTTTTTTTTATTTAAATATATCTTTATTGATTTCAGAGAGAGGGAGAGAGAGAGAAACATCAATGATGAGAGAGTCATTGATCAGCAGCCTCCTGAGGCCACTGACTGGGGATCGAGCCTGCAACCCAGACATGTGCCCTGACCGGGAATCGAACTGCAATCTGGATCCTAGGTAAATGCTCAACGGCTGAGCAAGGCCCAGCTGGGCTAGAATGTAGCTCTTCAGGGTGTTTTTCAGTTACCTCATTAATGTCAGTTACTAAATGTTGATGTTTCTCTCTCTCTCAAAAAATCAATAAAAATTGGGGGGAAAAACATACCTATATTGTCCCAGGCATAGTGCTCGTTGGTGGAATTACAGACATAATCTCCGTGGGACTTGGTCTAGGGGAAGGGAAGACCTTGGAACAGATAATTACAAGTGTGATGCACCAGGAAGCAGTACAGGAGGTTGGGAGACCTGATGTTGGTTGGGAATTGGAGCTCAAGGAGTCAGGGTAGGCTTCTTGGAGAAATTAAAGATTAAATTAGAACTTGAATGACAAGCAGCAGTTAACTGGCCAAGTGGGACACGGAGAAGAGTCCAGACAAAGGGAATAAGAGTTTTGTGAAGCCTCGTATGTAAGATGAGGTTGGTGCATTGAGTCTAAGAGGAGACGAATGTTGGTGGAGGCCAGGTAGGACTCCAGGCCCTTCGATTTAGTCCCTGAATAATATATTGTTTTCTTTCCTAATATAAGTAGTTCAATTGCTATTAAGTATTTACATTAATAAACTCATAACAGCTACCATTTGTTATGCTCTGCAGCTGCTAATTATATCTGTCTAGTATTCATTTTCACAACAATCTCTTTAAAAAAAAGTGGTCTTTACATATAAAACACTGAAGCATGAGTTTGGTAATTTGCCTAAGGGGCTATTATGTAGGCTACAATATGGAGAATGGACCTGGAGAGGAAATGTGGAGAGGAAAGTGAATCTGAGGATACCAGATTATGTGTTGGCTCTTACCATACTTGTAATACAGGGCAATGGTGGCTTGGACTTGGATAAGTAGCAGTGGGCATGGAGAGAGGTGACATGTTTGAGTGTTTTTAGGAAGTACCACAAAGAACCTGGTTATTCATTCTGAAGGGAGACTCCCAGGATTCTGTTGGCAGCTGCACTGATGGGCTTGTTGGACCCTGAGCTAGAGAACTTTGGAACAAAATAGGATCATGGGCAAGGATGTTGATGTGGGATCCAGGGTTGGGTGTTTTAAGATGGGAGAGATGGAAATGTTTAAATGTTAGTTGGATGGACCCAGGAGAGAGATATATAGAAAAGGGAACAAACATTGAAGGTAGAATGAGGTTCA